GGTTTTAGTTACTTAGGGTTGGGGAAGGACCATCAGAGAATGGCAACTCTTGTCAGGGTAAACTATCTCGCATCTTGTTTTTATATAATAGAGAAATATACTTTTGATCATGAGTGTTGGGAAAAAAGTAGGAACATCTAGGGAAATGGAAAAGTAGACCTTCCAAATGAACAAAGAAAAAGATAGCAACAGGATCAAACTTGCAAAATGAGGAAAGTAAAAGCAAAGCAGTCATAACCAATAAATAGTAAAAAAAAAAAAAAGTACGGTGGAAGAGGTAAAACATACATATTGATGGTTATACTAAATAGGAAAAGGTTAAACTATCTTATGAAATTACAGATACACTAAGATTAGGTTAAATATAAAACATTGCTAAATGCTAATCTTAAGAAGTTAAAATAAAATGATCAATGTTGAAACAAAGGGATAAGAAAACACTAGGAAGAAAGTAGGTATGGCAACACTAATGCTAGATAAGTTGGAATGAGGTTAAAAGCATGAATGAGGATAAAAATTGGCAGCGTATAAATAGTGAAAGAGAACATTTATGAAAAATTAATGACTCATTTACCATAGGCACCAAACAACGCAGCTGATAAATATATGAGACAAATGTTATAGAAATGCAAAGAGAGTTTCATGAAACTATATAATGTTAATTGAAAATTTTTTCTTTTTCTTTTTTTCTTTTGGTAGGCTTCATACCAGTGTGGAGCCCAATGTGGCACTTGAACTCATGACCCTGAGATCAAGACCTGAACTGAGATTAAGAGACACTTAACCAATTGGGTCACCCAGGTGCCCCACAGTTGAGTTTTAATAAACCCTTTTCAGAATTAAGATCCCATAGACAAAAAATAAATAAGCACATAGAAAAATTAAATGATGCAATTAATAAATCAATTTAATATGTATTTCCTTCAAATAAAAAATTTGCATTTTGCATCTCCAAAATCAACCAAGTACTTGGCTACAAATAAGAATTCATATAATTTTAAAATAGAGGTTTTACAGGCCATCCCCTCTACTCATAATCTAGTAAAACTAGGTATAGAAAGTTAAAAAATATAAAAAGTCCCAAGTGCTAGGAATTAAGAAATCATTCTTAAATAATTTTCAGATCAAAGAGAAATCAAAACTAAAATTACAAACTATTCAAAACTGATCAAAGTAGAATACTTTATTCCCAAAACTACAGTACACAGCTATAGCTATACTCAGAGGAAAATTAATAGCCTAAAAAGTGCCTTTGTTGTAAAGGAGAAAGATCTAAAACGAAGAAATTTCACATTAATTTTAAAACATTAGGAAAAAGGAACATTTACATTTGAAAAAATAGGAAAAAACAGGAAAAAAATCAACAAAATAGAAAACAAACCAGAACTGGAGATAGGGCAAATAAATCTCAGACTGCTTCTTTGAAAAAGTCAATAAAAACCTATCACAATGATGAGGTGAGCACTGGGTGTTATACTTTATGTTGGCAAACTGAATTCAAATAAAATTATTATTATTTTTTTAAACATTTTACTTATTTATTCATGAGAGACACACAGAGAGAGAGGCAGAGACACAACATAGGCAGAGGGAGAAGCAGGCTCCATGCAGGGAGCCTGATGTGGGACTCCATCCCAGGATTCCAGGATTACGCCTTGGGCCGAAGGGAGGCACTAAACACCAGGGATCCCCTGAATTCAAATAAAAAATTTAAAAACCATGAACTTGATTAAGTAAAAGAAAGAGCAAGATTCCGTAAGATTGGAAAGATATAGCCATACATACAGGAGAGATTGAAATCATCGTAAGACAGACTAATGAGTAACAGCATGGCAACAGTGTTGTAAATCTAAAGAAAACAGATTATTCCCTTGCAAACAAACTCTGAAGTTTGACCAAGAGAAAGTAGAAAACTCAACTATGTCGGTTATCAGAGAAATTAAAAGACGAGTCAAGATGGAAGATTTAAAAGGACAAGAATTTCATGGGAGACAGCAGCCCTCGTCTGCTAGGGAAGAAGGCAGATGGAAATGGCAGCAGAGGAGGGGCGAGATGATGAGGTCAGAAGGAGGAGATGAGAAGATCTGGGGAAGGGACAGTGGAGAGAGGGAGAGGGGCGTGTGTTAGGGACAGTTTTGGGCAGCACCTCCTCCACTGCCCCTGCTGCCCAACATACGTTCCTATTCTCTGTAATGACTTTATGTTCAGCCATATTTGTGTTCACTACTATGTGTCTACCTAAAAGCTGCTGTCTGGAGTTTGGGGCGATTGCCCCATTGGGGGCAATCCAATGGATTGGATGTGGCCCCCAAAGCTCTCCTCCCTTCTATCCTGGCGACTCACTCCTGTGCAATCTCTCGTCGGTGGTGTCTCTGTGGTTAAGGCCTCTGCCCCCCCTACTGATCCATCCTACTCATCAGTGGGATGGGAAGGTGCTGGTCAAGGCAGGACAAGGTCACTCCAGAGAGCTCTCCAAACCTCCTATCACTATTTGGGCAACTTCAGAGGACCTCTGGGCATCTCTCCACGGCCATTGGTCAGGGTGACCTGCGAGGGGCAGACTTTTCTTAGAGGAGTGGGGATTTGCATTTCTGCCCCACCCTTCTCCATGCCCAGAAGAGAGATGCAGCATCTGCCTGCCAGACTGGCTTAATAAGATTTGTTCTGCTCCAGGAGGAGCTTATTTGACCACATTTGGGAAATACCATCAATTTTCTGCCTCTTAGCCACAAAAGATTTTTTTTAAAACATTTCATTATTCCTAGACGACATCTCTTGGCAAGTGAATTCAGTGATTAGTAATACTTCATCCAGGCAGTTCTTTCTTATTTCAAATGAGTAGATGTTTTCCTATCTCTACATAAATATCTGGTCATCTGGATCATAGTGTATTACAGAATTTCTAAGGCCCAGTGGTATTTCCAGACTTGCTGGACGTGCTTTTTCCTTCTTCTGAATCACTTAGCTCTTACCCATTTTTCCTCACATGAATTTGGCAGTTGGCAAAGCAGTTTAACATTTAATTTCTATGGGGGTGGAAGCAGGGATGTGGGAGAAAAAAAAGCAACCAAGATAGCTGTGACCTTGTCAGCGACAGAGACGTGGGGCAGAAAAGGAAAGGAGAAGAGAGAATCTGGTCTAAGTGAACTGAATGGATTTTTTTATATCCAAATAGTTTTCCTGTCCTGGAAATCCAATATAAAGCAGGGTTAAAACCCAGCTCCCATCAGATCCCATTCTTGGGGTGGAGCGTCTCATGCGCTTGAAGGAAAGGAAAGCAGATTTCTGGGCACAGTTTGTCCGTAACGAATGAATGAATGGGGTTATCTGGTTCTGTTATCTCTCTTTAGAATATTTGGGGGTCCCCCTCCCTTTTGGGTAATTGAGCCCTGTCTGGAAGCCCAGCAGGGAACTGAAGCCTCTGTCCTCTGTAGAGAGGGATTCATGAATCCCAGAAGGGCAGGACCATCTGGCCTTCAAAGCTCCCCTTCAAGCCTGGGATTCTAGGAGCCTCCCTGCTCTTCCTGCTGGAAACTCCTGCACCAAAGGTTAGTTTTCTCTTCCTCTCATGGTGTGCATCTGCTGGCAGAAGTGAAAACAGAGTGAGGGGACAGAGGAGGGGGCGTTCCCAGACATTACTGTGGAAGGAGGGCCTGGTGTAGCCCATTGTATGCTGGGTCTGTCAAAGAGCCTCAGAGCAGACTTTTCTGATCCTGTCATACTAATCTCACTTTCCTAAAAATCTTCCACTATAACCCAGCAAATAAAGGCTATGTTGGTGTCTGTGGTAAAGAACTTGGTGGCGTCTTTTTGGGCCTGCCCTCTGCTCACGAGCTCCTGATCATTCTCATGGGGAGCATCCACGTCAGGCACTGGCAAACTCAGGCTTGTGGGCCAAATATAGGTTTTGCTTGTTTAATAAAGTCTTCTGGGAACACAACCACGCTCATGTCTAAGGCTGTGTCATGCTCCAATGATGCAGGTGAGTCTTTGCTAAAGACACAGTAAGGCCTCCAGAACTAAAACTATTTACTATTTGACCCTTTCCAGAAAAAGTTTGCTGAGCCCTGATAATACATATAAATAAAGACAATGTAGGCTAATGATGTAATTGGGAAGTCAAATTATGAACTTCATGGATCACAGTTTGTCCTTCTACTCAGGCTAACCATTTGTTTTAAGTATCACAGCCCTCATAAAACTTCCAACACCCACAAGCAAACAGGAAAATGAGATAAATGGCCCCAGCTTTTCACCCTCTGAGCTCAGATACTTTTTTCAACCAGGATCTCTGCTCAAAGTTGCTGGTTTGACTTATGCTGAGAAATGCTTATCCTTCACCACTTTATCCTTTATAGTAAAAATCAGATACAGAATCTAACTTTTATTAATTGCTTCCTGCTAGAAGATATCAGCTTGCCCTTCCTCTGACCACTGAATGTGTGAGACTTCCTATTTAGACACCCCAGTGCCCTGATTGTCCCTGTTTGGACTTTAAAACTCTATCCATGTGAAATTCCTCTCTTTTATGTAAAGCTGGGTGTGCTCATCAGCCATTAGCTCAGTGCACTGATGCACCTTCAATTCTTTGCGTGTGTCTCCTGAATTTCCACCTACTCTGTGTCCACCTGGGAACCACTTAGCAAGTTCAGTTTTACAGCATCTATTATTCAGTTAAACATGCTCAAAGATCATCTTGTAATCATCTTTCCAAAAGACTAAATAGAAATGTTTTTAAGACAATGACATTTAAAGCACATGCCTTACTTCTGAAAACTCTGGCAAGCTCATACCAACTTCCTCTAATGTCATGTATGGATAGTTGTGGCTATTTGGGCAGAGAGAGAAACCGGCATTGGGGAAGGGAGGTACAGGTGTGTCTGGTTCTACACAGGTGCAAGGAGAGGCACAAGAGGTGAGTGCTGCGGCAGATTGACCCAGAGCTGAGACCACAGGGAGCAGACACCAGGTCCAGGCAAAGAGCATTTCTGGCTAGTCACCGCTGGGGGACTTCTCTTCTTCACTGCTCTTCATTTTCAGGTAGTAGATGCGGTTGGCCTCTGGGTAGGTGACTTTGCTGAGTGGGAGCTTGTAGATGGCGGGGTTGTTGGTTGTCAGCAGCAGGAAGATGAGGGTAGAGAGGCAGAAGGCCCAGGTGCCTGGTGGCACACCAACCTGGAAGAAGTAGCACTGGGGTCTGAAAGTGGTCCTAGGCTTTAGGGACCCTGGGGGAGAAGGATGGGGTAGGAGTTGAGGATGGGGATCCTTCCCTAGTGATGACATTGATTTTTGGGTTCATAACATCAGAGTAGCTGATCTAGGCATTTGAGATGTTGGTACCTTTGGACACAATCAGAATCTTTTAATGATGGAGCTGAACTTCAGCCTTGGGATGATTTCCCACCTAGCCACACACAAACACCTCCATCTGCCCATCTAGGTTCTCCACTGCTGGTTGTATCACTCTTTTGCACACACACACACAGAGCCAGGGGAACACAAATACAACTGCCAGTCCTTCTCTGGGCAAACCCTCGATAAACCTTGACAAAGACATTGACTAGCTACCGTAACGCACTCAGGATTCTTCCACAAACTGCAGATGTCCTCAAGCCCTGGCTGGGGAGTGGCATGTTCAGGAGAGTCCAAACTTACCACTGACATTATGTTGGAGAGGGCTGCTCCCATGTATGCACAGAACAGGGCTGTAGAAAAACAAGCACCATGGAGTCAGCTTCCCAGGGTCTGCCTCCACCTCTCCCCAAGGGCAGAGGTCCCATCCTGTCTCTAGCAGCTTCCATGTCTGCACCATACCCTGACATCTGGCATATTTGCTGGACATAACCGCCATGGTGGTTATCTTTGCAGGTAGGTGTAGCCACTCTCCCACCAGATGGTGTTCCCAGGGCAGAGGTTAAAGCCTTCTCTCCCTTCCCCACTTTCATGCACAGAGTCAGGGCTCAGTAAGCATCTTCTGTTTGTCCATACTGACCTTGGGGAGAGTCTGTCTGGGGGGTGAGGGGTCAGACTACATGAGCCCCCAACAAGTCTCCTCCTGTCCAAGGTTCTAAGCAGCCACGGTAGACCCCGCTGGACCTTACTGGTCCATGAGCTTGTCTTTACGAGCCAGGCATCTGAGTTCACCCTCGGATGTGGCCCCCAGGACAGTTAGGGGGGCTCATCCACACCCCTGTGCCTCTGAACAAGCTCCTTCTGCCCCTTTTTCTTTGCTCTTTCTGTTCTGTGTCCAGAAAACCTTCTCCGGCCCCCTCCCAGCCATCCCCACCCTGGAGGTGTTGAGATAAACCCCATGCTCCGCCCGAAGCCTTCCCAGATGGTTCTAGCCGTAAGAATCTGCCACTTCTCTGAAGGCCGAAGGCAGTTACAATCTTAGCCTCAAAATATCTGGCACTTTTGACTCGAAGAATATTTACCAAGTCTACTGTCTCCCTGCTGGCCACTGAGGGGAATGCAAGGGACATGGAAGTCATTTACAGTCTCCGCACATGAGTGGGGAAGAAAAACAACAAAAAAGCTCTTCTGGATGATACTCTGTCCATTACATGTCTCTAATTTTGCTTATTAAAGTCCTGCTGTTTCCAGAGAATGTAAGCAACTCCAGAGCAGGAAGACTGGTGGAAAAGATGGGGATGGGGTTTGAATCTTGCCTCTGCCCTTAATAACTGTGTTCTACACCAAATTCATGAACCCTTCTGGGCTTCATTCCCTCACCTGTAAAATGGGCCGACAATCGATGCCTGCTAGTGGGCTTGGGAGGATTGAGTTCACAGGTGGTGCTGGGCTGCCACTGTAATAAGGCCTGTAGCCCATTTCCCTTGGGATGGCATGCTATCTGCTCCATGGGAATCAAGCTCCCATGGAATGATTTTCTGAGACCTCAGTGCTCCCAGGTACATCATCTCACTGGGTCTTTCCAACAATCTTTTCAGATATCACGGTCTTAACCATCATATGATTATACATTTCCTAATGTGCCAGATGTGGCTTCATGAGGATGTGGTCACCACTGCCTTGCCCATGTGTAGCGTAGGGCCTGGCACTCAGCGGTGCTCTATAAGGTTGTGGGATGAAAAGTTATTACATCAGAACACTGCCACTAGCACATTAGGAAGTGCATATGTGATCTTGTACACCTATAGCACTGCTGTAATAGCAGTAAGTGTGGTTGTGACTCTATTTGACAGAAGAGGCACCTCAAGTACCCCAGTGCTGGGACCCAAGCCACAGGTCCTTGTATCGCTGCTGCTCAGTTCCGATCAGTGGTCCCCCATGGGTTTCACATCAAGTAGGGAGGGAAGGAAAGAATAGCAGAACGACTTGGCTGCCAGCTTTCCCCCAAATACCCACCACAGACGAGGGCCAGCAGGTGGGTCTGCCAGGTGAGGGCGTAGAACATGCCCCCGATTGCGATGCAGGAGAGGACACAGTTGTAGCTCCAGAGGCCCATGTAGATCGTCTCAAAGGGCGTGGCCGCTGTCAGGGCTGTGGGACAAGGGGTGATGTTTCTGGGCAGTTCCAGGTCCCAGCACAAAAGCCGCCCCGTGGCTGGTGCCAGGTCTCAGGGTGGCTTCGCTCCTTCCATCTCCCTCTAGTCCCTCCCCCTCTCCCATCAAAGGAGCCTCTACAAATGGCATATGGTCTTCAGGAGCTGGAAACAGGAAGAGAGCAGTGGTTTCCAAATGGTGTTCTGAAGATTTCACACAGGGGTATGACTACTTCCAGGGTGAGGGGAGGTCAAGGCTTTGGGATTCTTGGCCTTCCCTACTCCTTTGGCCAAAGCAACTGCATTTTTAGCAAGAACGTTTTCACTTAAGAAAGGTCTGCTTCCAATGGTGGAGGAAAAGTATGTATGTGCACATGTAGAAACATGGGGATAGAGAAATAATATAGCAGGAGGGTGGGATGTGAACAGTGGGTGAATCAGGTGAAGAATGTATGGGTGCTTTGTGTCCCATTTTTATTTTTGTAATTTTTTGGTAAGTTCGAAGTTATTTTCAAGTAATCTTTTAAGTTCTGCTTCCAAGATGTTTTTGAAAAATATTGAAATGAGCCAACAGGATCCTAGTCCCACATGCCTAACTCCAATTTCTGGCTCTACTGTCCACATGTACAGACATAAATGCATATACACACATATGCATACATGGAGAAATATTAAGGCATGTTTGTCAAATAGCGACACAAGTTTTGAGATTTTTTTTTTTTTTTAGTTTACTTGAGATTTTGAAGTGCTCGATCGTTTATACCCCGTAGTTTGCTGTTGTCCTTCTCTGAATTACCCTCCCCTTCTTCCCATTGCTCAGCTCCCAGGGGCTCAGTTAGCAGGCCAATCAGGTCTTCAGTCCCTTGTGTCTCTCCATATATCCTGCTGCTGCAGTCTGCTCCCTTCGGAGACTCAAGAAAGGGAAAAATAAGTCCCTATCCTTGACAGTGTTCAAAAACATCAGTGAAGAAAATAGGTCTAGAGTATTTGCCATGTGCAGTGGTGAAATGACCTCAGGAAAATTATCCCAAAGTCCTCCCTGCAGAGAGGGGGACTCTCTCCTACCTGCTAGCATCCCCACGATTGAGCCAATGGCTGCATGCAGGCAGATGAGTGGCGAGGAGATGAACAGAGCCACCAGGAACACACCGCCTGTCCAGGGATTGTCACAGCCGTACACCTGGCCGACCCCGATGGGAATGGCTTGTAGCAGCTGCAAAGTCAACAGAATCCAGGTTACTGGAGCGTGGGCACATAATGCAAAGCCCAGGCCTTGGGGTCAGGACTGAGCCATTCCTGGTGGGGGTAATGGGCTGGAACAGGGGATGCCGGGACCCTCCAGCATGTAAGAGAACTTGGGAGGAAGGACACCAGCTGGAACAAATCACTCCTCACTCCACCACCTAGCAGGCATCTGGCATCCCCCATGCAAAGCAGGGCAAGGCCCCCAACACAAGTGCTTCTGAGGGACACAAGGCTTCTGCTGAGAGAGGAGAAGCTTTGAGGGGACCAGAGGATAACCTCTTCTCTAGACTGCCTCTGGGGCTTTTGGGGCCCTAAGGTATTTCCATTAGACCTTCTAAAATCCTACAAGTATTCCAGGAATATTGGAAATATTTTAGGCCATTCTGATGATTGATTTAATCCAAGGTCACCCAGCTCATTGGTGGCAAAAGCCAGGCTAAAGCCTCAGAATTTGACCCTTCGTCTATAAGTGGTTGCTGTATATTCAGTGTTCCCTAGGGTATTTTGGGGGTCTGGGAAGGAGGAGGCACTTCCCTTGCTCAGGGAGCATTCAGCAGAAAGGTTAATGTGTGCAACAGTGGAACACAGAACAAAGCCAACATCCCTGAGCCTGAGAGCCATTTGGTGGTGGTATAATTGGAGATGGTTGCTTTTGTGGCCAGATGGCCCTTTTCTGCTCAAGCTGAGCCATGCAGCTCTGATAGAGGAGGGGAAGAGGGAAAGGAGGGAGATTGGCGGGCCAGGGAGAGCACTGGCCTGGGAGCTGAGGGCTCCAGATTTCAGGGGGCTCTGCATGAGCTCATGGCTTCATGACGGGTATGTCACTTCCTCATGCTGGGCTCTGGTGTCTGCCTCTGTAACATAAGGAGGCTGCCCTAGCAGATGATCTAGCTTTAAAATCCTGCAGTCTTTACTTCATTCCTAGGTCATGTGACCTCTTTGAGGGCAAGGCTCCTTTTTGTCTGGGTACATATTAGATGCTTAATAAGTATGTCTTGCTTAGCTCAGCGGTTTCCAAACTTTGCTGTTCATTGAAATCACCTGGAGATCCTTAAAAAAATAAAATTGATGCCTGGTTTCTCCTCAGACAATGTGATTTAACTGGTATGCACCTGACCAGGGCCTCAGGAGATTCTAACATGCCATTGACTCTAGGGACCACTTGGTTAGTTATATGTGACCTACTGCAGATGTTGGGGGTTCATTGCACATCTTCCCTTGGGAGAAATTTTGTAATTTTTTAACAAACTGATTTAATTCCGGAGTCAGTGTGATTTCTTTAGAGAATAGTGTTTTGAGGAATTCCACAGAGCTTTTAAGCTTTGCCCATCCTTGTCTCTGGATGAGTGGCCTTTTGATCACCAGGCACTATTTGGGCCTGAGCCTATGGCCTTCTGCCAGGAGTGACAGGGTGGGGTGCCTCTGATTTAAAGGAGCCCTGAGAAGGCTCGGTGTCAGTTCAGGGAACCCAGCTTCCATGTGGGGAACTGGCTAGACAACTACTCAGTAAATACTCCATGACTTCTCCAAGTCTCAGGAATGCAGGATGCTGAGGGGGTTCTTACTTCCCCTTTCCCCTCTGGGAACACAGGTTTGAAGTGCAAGCAGTTAAGAACTAGAGGAATGAGGGGCAAGCAGCCACGGAATGGAGTCTGTGTTCAGAAAGCAGCTTCTTCTGCTGGGATCCATATTTTAGCTTGGTGAACTGTGGCCCTGTGGCCACCTCCCTCCCCGCTACCTCCTTCCCGACACCCTGTGGGGAAGGTGTGAAGGGCAGTAGGGTGTGCATGGAAATTTACTGAGCCCTAGGCCCCTTCCTGCTCTCTATTCCAGACAGTTCTCCAGTAACAGTGACAGGCCTGACAAATAAAAAGGAAGTCACTCCCATGGTTGGCTTAAAGAGGAGATCAGAGGTGTGGGGATCTGCATGGTGAGGACGAGAAGGAGCCGAGTGTCGGAGTAGTGGCATGTCGGGGAGCTCAGACGGTGGGCTTGGGCTCCTGTGGATTTGCGTCCTGCCACTTTCTGTTTGTTTATTTATTTATTTTTAAGATTTTATTTATTTATTAATGAGAGACACACACACACACACAGAGAGAGAGAGAGAGAGAGAGAGAGAGAGAGAGAGAGAGAGAGAGGCAGAGACACAGGCAGAGGGAGAAGCAGTCTCCATGCAGGGAGCCTTATGTGGGAATCCATCCCGGGTCTCCAGGATCAGGCCCTGGGCTGAAGGTGGCGCTAAACTGCTGAGCCACCTGGGCTACCCTGTTTATTTTGAAGATGAACAAGAAGCATCTCTTGCCTGTGGCTATCTCCCTTCTGTATTCCCCTTGGTGCTGGACTGCACAGCCTCATAGTGGGGGTGGGTAGGGTCTCCGTGGGCCCTTCCCTCTGGCAGGGCCACATGCCCCTGCGGCTGTCACTTGGACCCTGCCGTGAGGGGACAGCAGGTCTGGGCCCCTAAGACAATATGCCTAACTGCCAGATGAGGAACCCCCTGGGTCCTAGCAGAGTTAGGGTTTTACCCCTGCTCCCACTGCTGTTTTCCACTTGAGAGGGTGGGCTTTCCCTTCAATGGAGGGCACTGTCTTTTCCATCCTCTTGGATTTAGGCCCTAACCCTGACTCTCTAATCCTACTCCTGCCTGGGGCCCCAGACAAACTTTAAAATGACAAAATCTTCAAAATTTTTGCAGCAGCATCTGCAGTAGGGGCAGGGAAGCCTTTCCTTTTCTGATGGCTTCAGAGCCGAGTGTGGCCAGCCCTGGAGGACCTGTGCTGCCTGCCTCGCCCTGGGAGCGGTGGCCCTGGAGCTCAGCACATGGCAGCAGGGTCATGCTGGGTATTTAAGTATATGTAGACAATGGGCTTCGCTGGGTAGTAAGGGCTCAGGAATCAGACTGCATAAACAGGATTAAGGACATAGGTTATGTCTGCAAGCATTCAAAAGGCAATCCTGGAAACAATATTCTGAATTACTCTAAAAAGGTGAGCTAGAACCAATGGGTGAAAGATGGAGGGGATGGATTTCTGAGGAAGGTAGAGAATACTCCAGCACTTAATAAAGAGACCCAGTGAGGAGGGGTGGACTGCACCGAGAAGCAGAGGGTTTTGCCTCACTGTGGTTGCTCCTGGGAGGTGCCTGTCCTGCCTGGGATGAAGTGGGTAGCATTCACAGCCTGGGCTCTGCATCAGGCTGCTTGGGTTTTATGCTCAGGCACACAAGCTGCAGTTGGACCCTGGTCAGCTAACCCTATCTGTGCCTTAGTTTTGTCATTTGTGAACAGGGATAATGGTAAAAGTTAACAGCATTGGGCTATTATGAGGGTTGGTTAAACGATTTCAGAAGCCAAGGGCTTGGAACAGTGTCTGGTATGTAACAAGCTTGCCTTAGCGTGAGCTCTTGGCGATCTATGTTGCCATTAACAAGGCCAAATGTTGCAATTCTATATATGTAATCTTATGTTAGATTTTTATTATATCGCCTCATCTCTGGTGTCTAGACATCAGTAGAATAAATGAATATGTATGCTTATGATAGTTGGATATAAAGCAGAGTTTCTCAACTCCAGTATTATTGTCATTTGGGGCTGGATAATTCTTGTGACAGGGAGGGCTGTCTTGTGCATAGTAGGATATTTATCGGCATCCCTGGCTTCTACCTACTTGATCCCAGTAGCACCCCTCCCCTCAGTTAAGATGACTAAAAATGTATCTGCAGACATTTGCCCTCTCAGGAGGACAAAATCACCCCTGCCTGAGAGCCACTGATAAGGAAAGTACACGAAAACTCATCCCCATTTTCTACTGATGATATCTTTAAAATTCTAATTTTCTTTCCTTTCCTTTTTTTTTTTTAAGATTTTTTAAAATTTATTCATTGGAGACACAGAGAGAGAGGCAGAGACACAGGCAGAGGGAGAGGCAGGCTCCTCTCTGGAAGCTCGATATGGGACTCAATTCTGGGACTCCAGGATCACGACCTGAGCCAAAGGTAGATGCTCAACCACTGAACCACCCAGGTGCCCCAAAATCCTAATTTTCAACTCTTATTTTAGTGTCTTGCCTCTTCCCCCAACCATCCATCTTATTCAGTATTTCTCCCTGAACCCCACCATTGTGTATTATCAATTTAGCACTTGTCTGTGAGCTTGTTTACTGTATTTCCCTGTGTGCAGTGGACACTTCAAAAGGGCAGACAGCTTGTTGTCCTCTTACTCCCTTATTCCTAGTGTCTGATAAAGTGCCCGGCACATAACAGGTCTTCAATAAGGGTTTAGTAAAAGAACCTATGGAGGCGGCAGCAGCCCTTCCCTGTCCTATCTTCTCCCATGACGAACATCTGGTGGAGATGCACCTAGAGAAACAGGGAACCTAGGTAATCAACAGACTGGTTATCAAGAAGGCATGTGGTGGAAGCAAGGTCACCTGTCATTGGGGCACTTACCAAGGACATCTCCATCTCTGACCAGGTGATGTTGGGCACTGAAGAAATGGGCTGCACGAGCGTCGTGGGGAAGAAGAGGTTGTAGTGGCCTGTGGCTGCCAGGTACAGGGTCACGGCTATGTTGAAGGGAAGTGTGAAGACTGGGAGGTCCCACCTACTGAAGATGGAATTCAAGGCACTGGAAAGAAGTGGGCTGAAGATAAGAGAGACAAACGGTGAATCCATGCTCATCCTTAGGTCTACATTGTCTCTTTAGCTCTGGCCACAGTGCCACCTCCATCTCCTTGGCATGGCCATTCCTGGCTCCTTGGAGACTCTAGTGGCCCATTTATCTAAGGCTGGGAATAAGGTGTTCAATTTAGGGGTGAATCTTTGAGAAACAAGTTTTTTAAAGTATTATAATTTGTTTCAAATAGTAAACTTTATAATTTAGATCTTTCCTTATTTCTTAAACCGAGAAAACGAAACAAAATGTCATCCTTAGAAAATATCATGCATTGCCTTTGAGATGTACGACATCATCAATATCATTGAGATGTACGTATCCTGGGCTATGATAACGTTTTGAAGTCTGGCCTTGTAGGAGGTGGCTGTTATGGCACAAATAGGTAATGCGTGGTCCTGGATTCAGCTGAAGTGCCTTGAGCAACTCTGGAAGTCATCATGTGAAGATGGAGCCTTCAGTTGTTTGTGCCCTCTTTCTTCTTGGCCTCTTCCTTAGGAAGAGCATGCATTTTGGAGACAGATGGAGCTGGGTGCAAATCCTAATGCTCATACTAACAAGCTGAGTGAGCTACATCAGGTAATGACTCTCCTTGAACTTTAGTTTTCTTGAAGGTATCAGCCACCGCAGACACCTGACACCCTGCGTCTTCCACACCCGGTAAACTGCTAGACAAAACATGAAGTCACATGATCTGGCTGACTGGTCTACCTTGTTGACCAGGGATGTCCAATGGGCATTTAAGACTACCTGAAAAACTTACCACACAGCCCTGGCAGACTAACTCTCCAAATTGCTGAGACAACTATTTCACATTTTCACTTTCTCCTCAAACCTTCACTAGCTGCTTCCCTTTAGTTGAGCACCTTGCTCGACTTCATTAAAAAGGATAGAAATGATGAGATGCAAGATGCCTCATTTTTCCCAACCATAAGCTCCACACACTCTAATGGCCCAGCTCCCACAAACTTTCTCTCTGCCTTTGTCACATAATGAAAATGTCCCTCCTTCTTTATTGGGCCAATTCTTTTTCTTGTACTTCAGGATCCAATCTGTCTCTAAGGCTTCACTCCTGCAGCCTCAGTCTCCCCTTTTCCCCTACATCATTCTTGTAAGTCTACAACAAGAACTCTAACTCGATGTTCCCTTCAGCTAGTTTGCTCCATTTTTCTGCTCCCCTTCATAGCAATTACTCCTCAGGAGATGGCTATGCCCAATCTTTCCTACCCCTTTCTTTCCTGAACCTACTCCCATCTGGTGTGTGTTCTCCCCATAGCACGAAGTGGCTCCTGTCCACTTCACCAATGACATTGATCTTGCCAAATCTATGGCCGTTCCCTGCTCCCTTCATTTGACAGCTGGATGCTCCAATGGGACTGACGTACTTTCTGTCTGGGTTATCAGCACACTGCCCTTTCTTAGCTTTTCTTCCCGCTTCTCCAGCCACTCCTTGTCATCTGTTCTTTGTGGTTCTTTCCTTCTTCGGCTAGGCATCTAACTATTGGAAGATCCTATGGCTCTGCCTTGGGTCTTCTCTTTTTTAATCTTCTTTTTCTGAGTTATATCCTTTAGTTAAATGGACAAAATATCTTCCATATGCTTCTACCCTCCAAGTCTTGAATGTATCACAAAGTTTTGGATGTTACTTTGTCAACATATCTCTTTGGAAATTTAAAGCCTAATAATTATGTCTGACAGAACTCTTGATTTGTGCCCTGTCTCCCACCACTAGCCTCTTTTTCTCTTAGTCTTGTGCATCAAACCAGGTGCTCAGGCAAACTACAGGAGTCTACTGGATTTTCTTTTCTCCCCACCCGCCCTGCACACCACAGCCTCCCAGCGAGTCTTGTTGCCTACACCTTCTTTAAAATATATTCCAAGCCCAACCACTTCTCACCACCTTCCTGTGTGTCACCATTGCCCAGACCATTCTCATTTCTCTGTGGGTTCCAGACGATGCTTCCAGCATCCACTCTTGCTCCAGCTAAAATCCATTCTCCACACGGCAAGACAAGTGGTTTGTTTAAATTTAAACCCTATCCTATCACATCTTTGCTTAAAACCCTTTTGCTGCTTCTCATCACAGTTGTAATAAAACCAAAAAGCTTACTGGATCCTCAAAGCAAATGGAATATAGGTCTCACTTACTTTTGCCCTCCTTTCCTGCCAATTCTCTTTGTTCACAGGGGGCAAGCCCCTCTATGGTCTTATTTCCTGAACACAGACACTCCTTTGTTGGGGTCTGCACATGCCACTGCTTCTGCCTGCAGCATCCTGTACCAGATGTCCAGACAGCAGCTGCCCTTTATCATTTAGGTGAAAGCATTAATGTGCCCTCTATGAAGTGGCCTTCCCTGACCACTCATGTCTGGAATCACCCTCTGTCCCCTCACCCTGTTTGCCTTTCCTCACAGTGCTTTTATCAAATCTTGACATGTTCTTTTTATTCAACTAGTTGGGGGGCATTATTTCTATCTTTGTCAAGAATTACATAAACTCCAAGAGGATGGAGGCAATTTCTTGTTCACAAGAATAGTCCTGCACATAGCAGGCACTCAGCTAATATTTGTTTGTTGGATAAACCTGGAAAATGGCATTCCTAATACCTACCTTACGGGTTTTAGGTTCTACATGAATAGATTAGCGAACACACTGAAACAGCAGCACAGAGTTGGGTGCTGGATGGTTTTCTGTCTTTTAACCTGGGGAGTTGGGGTAGGGATGGGGACACTAGAGACACACTGCCACCCATTGCAGCCTGGCCATGCAGCTTCTGGGAGGCTTCATCTGTGTTGTTGTAACCACAGGGATGCAAATGAAGATAAGGTCTGCTACTCCTTACAAGGGGGCAGGTGGGGGGCACTGAGAAAAATCCCCACAGAAATGACTGCTATAGCTTCTGGTCCCAGTGGTTTCATAAAGACAGAAACCCTAAGAAGAAACTTGAATTGCTCAGAATGCTCAACGTAGTAATTCATTTACAAGTACTCCTAAAAAGTAATACAATAATACTTAAACTAAATTAAATTAACGGGTTTTAGAAACTCTAGAAACTGAAGAAAGATATGTTCTAAGGAGAGATGTTAAAAATGAGTCAGCATGTCTCGGAGCTGCAGGGCACGGTCTGGAGGACATGGGACACCTCAGGCTCCTGTCCTTTGGTACTGGGGCACAGGAGTGATAAAAGCCTCAGGCACCACAGACAGGCCACAGATGCAGGGTGAGCTAAGGCCTAGCATGCCCCTGGTCTCCGCCAATATTTGTTTCCAAGACCCTTCCTCCTGACTTTTTTATTCCTTTGCAAAATGAGGTGACTGCACAGCAAGATCTTAACTGATGCTTCTTGTTCAAAGATTCTATGCTTTCACTACCGATAGTCCACTCCAAGAGAGCTCCGATTCTGTCACAAACGAGTTTATAGCTTTATCACCTTGCTGAGGCCACGGTGTAGATGATTCCCACGTAGCCTGGAGTTTTACAGTTGCAGATTCTGGGTTCATCATCAAAAACTTTGTAAAAATACGATCTGGGGTTAAGTTACTTAAGCTCTTCATGACTTGGTCTTCCCTTCTGTAAACTGGGGACAATTATAACCTGACCTGGCTTAGCATTGTGCCAGGCTTGTAGGAAATACTCAATAAATGTTAGCCTTTATTATTAAAACTATCATTCAAGGAAGATTATTAGTACAATAAAAAAACCTGTGCTCATTGCTGCTCTAAAGGGTCTCTCTTATTCCGAAATAAAAAAAGTGATCTGATCTGCTTTGTTGCAACCAAATTCATGGATTTTCACTGTGTCTTGTGGGACAAGCCAGCCTATGAAGCACTGGGCTCCAGGAGGGTTCACGTCCCTGTCAGGTGTAAGACACAACAACTTGGGGCCCTGTGGGTCTGTGAGCAGAAAGAACGAGGTGTCTTACCAGGTCATAGCTGTGAAGGTCACAGGAATCAGAAGCCACCAATAATAGTCCAATTTCTCAGAGAACACAGCCACCAGCAGTCCCACCAGCATCCCGTTGTACCCATGGAGGCCAGAGGCGATGGCGGACCTGGGGGTGGGGGCAGTTACTTTGCATTTGAATTTGGTGGTGCTTATAGGGATTCTCCACCCTCCCCCCCACCCAGTACTCCCAGAAAAAAGTCAGCTTACTCCTGAATGAATGTTGGGCAGTCACATAGCTCCCAGCACCTTCCTAGATACACACCCTCCCCACAGACCTGATTACCCTGCCATTCTAGGATTAAGTCTCTTCACTGCTTCTGAGCTCTCCCCTTGGCTTCTCAGGGTGGGGGGGGGGGTTTCAGATGGCTAAATATAGTGGGAGATCTAATAAAAACCTGAGCTTTGACACTGGGGAAGGTGTGTGTGTGTGTGTGTGTGTGTGTAGGAGACTGGGAGGAGAGAGGAAGAGAAGAGGGAGGAGATCCCGCACTGCATGAGGCTGTAATTGTCACCTGGCCTCTCCTGGAGGACAATGCATCCCTGAGTGGATATGCAGGTGCCTCTCCCCATGGCAGGGCAGGCAGGGCCCTGGAGGTTAGAGAATCCAAGCCTGAGTCTATCCTTTCTTTTCATCTCATCAGGGAAGTCTACATGCACCTAAACTTCCCTCCCTGATGCTGATAAACACTGCCCTTGCCCATAGCTCTGCTGGCTGGGGGAATGGGGAGTGGGGCGAGGGATGGACTGGGCCAGGCCCTGAAGACCCCTGCCTGAGCTTGAGCTCTGTGTGCGGCACTCTGTCCCCCTGTCCCTGACTCGAAGTTGCCTAGGCTGCAGCTCGTCTGTCTGACATCAGTGTGACCACAGGCAACGTCTGTTGTGGAATGCATATGTGCCAATGTTAGAGCTCCTCCCCCACTCACTGTCTGCATCCAGTGGAGGCCATGGCTGAGGTCTGGAACGAGGGGAGCTCTCAGCTCTGGAGGGGCCAGGAGATGGGCTCAGCTAGACTGAGGGGAATGGGGAGTCTCTGGACAGTCACTGAAAAAGCTGAACATGAGACACTTGTGGGAGACACTTGTATGGGCCACTGGACAGTGTGTGGGGGGTGCTGCTCCTGAGGCCAGGATCATATGGGGCAGCTGGAGATAGGCAGGGGGATGGTGGGCAAGACCCTTGGGGTCCAGAACGTCCTCAGGACTAGAAAATCTCTCTGTAAATAAGAAACCCATGTTTGGGAAAACAATTAAGTGTGTTTGCAGTTTAGCTATATTTTCCCATTTCTGGTCAGCATTAGTAGCATTTAGTACTTTTTTGGTTTTAAGACTGGTTGCTTCAGGCAAACTGAGAAAAGCCCACTAGGGGCTGTCCTGTAGCCCTAGGGGCAAGGTGTAGTGGGAACAGTAGGAATTAAACAAGGGAGCACAGGGGAGACAAAATTAGGGCGACATCCATAGCTGCCCCTCCCTGGGGAAGTTCACTCCCAGAACACTTCTCTACTCACCCTTTGGAGGCCTATTGGCTTGGCTGTCAAAATGAAACCCATGACCTTACGTCCCCCTCTGACTAACAAGGATATAAAATTAGGTTTAACCCTGGTGCCAAGAAGGTGTTTGTGAGGACTACATCCCATCAGGACGGTGCAGCAGTAGTGTCGCTGACCTGAAGATCCTCTCTGGGAAGTGGCTTCTGGGCCAGTGGGGGCAAGGTAGCAGGGATAAAGGGAGACATAGGGCTGGTGGAGGAGGCAACGGGGAATAAGACTGGTGGACAGGAAGGAGGGGTGGTCAGGGGGATGGGGGTTGGAGAGTAGGGGTGGTGGGGAGGGATGGTAGAGGTTGTGATGAGAACATGTGGCCGTGTCCATGCTTTGTTGGGGACAGTGGTGACATCAGGATTCCCTGGAAAGATGTGTGCGTGGATGCTGTAGGGCTTTGAAGGTATGGTGTCAGACACGGTCTTGGCCTATCAGCAATGAAGCTGGAATCTTTTCGAATCACTGTAGTAGCATGTGGAGCATTCAGAATGGACTTCCCGTCCCGAACATGCTTAGAACATTGCCCGGGAGAGAAGACTCAGAAAACTATTGGAGAACTGTCCCATAGAGTTATTGAGATATGTTCTGCAGTTGTCCAGTGAGAAAGGAGGGTTCAGAGAGCACTGGGGTAAATCAGGGGTGGCTCCCTGGAGGAGGAGAGATTTGAAACAATGGATTAGATAGAGGCAAAAGTGCTCGATCGGGAAGAGTGCGATGCTGAGTGGGAGATATGTTGGGGCCCATCAGAGAGAGCTTTGGAAGCCAAACAGGCCCATTCTTGTCTTAGCAAAGATGTTTGGGAGGACTTGACAGGCATGGTTTGTGTCTCTGCTGTAATTTTGATGTCCATGAAGCAGCTCTCTGAATGGCCTGGCAAATTTTCCAGTTGATCATAATTGGGAGGAAAGTCAGAGATTCAGACGGTCAGTGCAGGAAGGGACTCTGGCTCCTCAAAGGTGAGCCAGTAAGTCACAAATCTCACAGATGAGGACGATGGGGCTAAGAGGGGCTGCCCATGAGAAGTAGGAATAGGGAAGCTAGTGGTTGAAAGAGAGACACAAAATCCTGGCTGGAGCCTGTTTTTTATGTCACTGCACTCCAAAGAATTCGGTCTCTCAGTCATCCAATTTGGACTGGCCTCCCGGGTTGCTAGACTTGGAGTGGTCCCCCAAGGCCACCTGAGAGATGCATGAAAGGCTTCTCAGGGGAGACAAGCCGACTCACAAATTTGCCTTGGTGGCATCTGGAATGTCAGGTGGGCCTGGAGGAGGTGTGATGTTGGTTACAACACCATTAATTCTGATTACTCCCCATTCCCTGGGTTCACCAGGGTGCCTCTGGCCTTGCTGTTCATGCTGTCTATGTGACACGGAGAGTGTGCCCTAGGAGATGCAGGCCAAGTGTCCCAGCCCGAGCCCTGCTTCCCACTGACTGTGGCACCTTAGGTGAACACCTTGCCCTTCACAGTCTCTTTTCTCTCACTTGGGAAGTGTGGATCCTCCTACCTTCACTGTCTGCCTTGGGAAGTGGCGGTGAGAATCACATGTAACAAGGCATGACAGTGCTTTTCAATCTTTTTCACAGTGACCCATAGAGGGAATATATTTGATAGCATGACCCAGTTCTCTCTTTCTCTCTACATATACACCTCCCCCACATACACAACACATCCCAACATTAATGAAACAAAAATTTCACAGAATATCTACTACATACGGATTACTATTACTCTAATCTGTTTTATTTTATCCTAGTATTTTGATTTAAAAAAATACTGCTGACAATTAATTTGTGATCCACAAATGGATCAGAATCCCCCCCCCCCAAAGAATATAAAAAATAGTGAAAGGGAATAAAGGGGAGAGGAGAAAAAATGAGTGGGATATATTAGAAAGGGAGACAGAACACGAGAGACTCCTAACTCTGGGAAACGAACAAGGGGTGTGGAAAGGGAGGTGGGCAGGGAGTGGGGGTGACTGGGTGATGGGCACTGAGGGGGGCACTTGATGGGATGAGCACTGGGTGTTATGCTATATGTTGGCAAATTGAACTCCAATAAAAAAATAAAAAATAAAAAAATGTGTAAAAAAAAAAGAATCCCCCCAAATTGAAAAACACTAAAAATATGGGCATTCCCAAACTTCTCTGATGATCAGAAGCATCCAGAAGGATCTTGTTAAAAACACCCCCTCCCTGGCCCACTGAATGGGACTGTCGCAGGGAATAGAAGGGGTTGGCCTGAAGAAGACATGTTTCTTAATAGTCAGCCCAGATGATTCTAGCCATCAGGAAAGTTTGAGAACTGTTGGAACAGTGTCGGGCAAAGTCTGTGGAAACGGTCAAGTTACATAAAATACTACTTGTTGTTGTTCCTGGACTCTGCAGCCCCTCCTCTAGCTGCCTCCTGCCTCTGCACCATCCTTCCTCTTGTCCTTTCCTCCTCTCTCCCACATCCCATGTTTCCAGCTTAAAGGCTGCCCCTTCTCATCCCCTTCCACCCTCAGAGATGTCTGTCTTTTCTGAACTTTCTGGTACATACTGTCTCATGTTATTCTGAGATATTTCTTGCCAGTTCCTCATCTTCCCTCAACTAGATGGTAGGCTCCATGAGGGAAGAGCCGCTTAAGTGTTCCTCTGCACCTGCCTCCCAGGGAGGGTTTCTAGAAGGATCTACAGTTCAAAGGAGCCCAGTGCTGTCACTTGCTGTGAGCAAAGGAGTAGTTTAATTCTGTTTGATTCTGTAGAGGCCTCCAGTGACCTATTGAAAGTTGATCTTCGGGAGACTTTGGGCAGGCTGGTAGGATAAGGTTGGCTGACTACTCAAGTAAACACTTCTCTACCTGTCTACCTTAAGACCCCACGACCACCAATGACAGGGACCCACCTGTCCTGGTTCAGGGCGAGGGCAGTTAAGGTTGAGACCACTGCCCCTAGGCCCCCAGCAATTGTCCACCAGGGATTCTGGATCAGGAGGCCTATGAAGATGATGAGTCCACTGAGAGGGTTGTTGACAAACATCACCTGAGCAGTTCCCCTCAGGACCCAGTCTGTGAACTGCATGGCCAGGGGCTTATCTGAAAGAGATAGGCAGAAGTATCAGCAGGGGGGCAGCTGGTACTTCCCAGCTGGACCACTGGTTGGCATGGCAACCAAGGCCAACAGGGATGCAGAAGCCAGGACATTTGTCTCATTTGGCCTGCCCCCCCCCCCGCCCCCAGCCTGAGTTTCTGAGTGGCTAGGCAATCAGTCCACAGTGGGTGTGTTTTTGCCATACAGACTGAGGCACCGTGCTGAGACCAATTTAACACGGTTCCAGCCATCAGCTTGGTTGGCAAGGAAGCCTCAGGAGCATTCCAAAGGAAATTTATTGGTCCAAGGGAAAGGATGAGGAGGGAAGGAAACTCTCTTTTCGTGTTGCACTGTATGACTCAGTTGAAAGTTGGTATCTGAGCAGCAAAGAAAGTAGTCTAGAGAAAAGACGTTGGAAAAGAAATGATATTAGTCCAGCTGTGGAATCAGTATTGAATTAGGACGTGGAGGAAGCCAGGTCTAGAAGAGAGGACATACATTCTGCCTCAGTCTCTGGCTTGGTTTCTAGGACAGCCTACAGGTGTGGGTAGGGAGGGTAGGGGTGTTTGTTGCAGTATTTAATTGAGGGAAACTAGGAGAAGAAGGACATTGAAAGGAGAGAATGAACCCCAGAGCATGAGGGAGGGTGAGGTCGATATTTTCTTGGCACATAATAAGTGGCTGTGGAACCAGGGAAGGAACAGATTGGGAAATGGTTCATACGTTGCTAAAGTGGTCATACTGTACCTACTCCATGTAGGGGCAAAGAGTTAGTTCAAAGAACTAAAATCAGTGAAGTGAATTTAATTCTGAAACCATGGGAATTCCAAGTCATTAGGGTACATTCGATCCACCCACAGCCAACTCAGGGTGAGAGCACTCCAGCTGAGAGTCTTCTCCATGAGTGAGCAAAGGAGCAGCATCTTCCACCCAGGCCCAAGGGGGGTGCTGTCTCCCAGGCCAGCCTGGCTGCTTCTTCCTGGGGCATCTGTTTACCTTTCAGCCAGTTCCTACACTCCTTCATCTCCCCTGTGAGGTAGCCCACTGCTTGGAAGAGGCTGATGCCCCCCATGCCTGCAGAGCCCCGATGGGCTGCCCCGCTCTCTCTCCTTTTACTCCTTTCACTGGGCTTTTCCATTTTCACAATATGGCTGTCTTCATTGGATGACCGGAGATCCTTTTAAGAGAAACCATGACAAACTATCAGATAATACAGCTTTTTGAGGACAGGGGTATTTGGGGATATGGAAGCTTGTCAGGTGTTCTGATAAAGATAAATGATCCTAAGACACCTGTCCACTCTCTATTGCTGTCCAGAGTGCTGCACGCAGGCCAGCTCTTCCAGGACTGTGTACGTTATTTTTTCCAGAATAATGTTGGGAAATGAATAAAATAAATAGAATTGCAAAGAAAACAGTTACTTTATATAGTATATATACTTTCTATACTTTTTAAAAAGTGTGTGTATATATATATATATGATACTGATAAGTATCAGGTAATACTGATAGAGCTGTTGTTTATTTGCTATGTTTATAATTCAAATAAGTGCTTAAGTTCACTGGAAGTTAGTGAAATACAGATAAATTATTCTCCCCATCCAAGCTCAAACCCCCTCAATTCTATTTGCGGACCCCTTGGTCAAGAGTACTTGTTCTAAAACTACACTATCCTATAGCATAGCCAATAGGACATATCACTATTGAGCTCTTAAAATGTGGCTAATCTGAATCAAGATGGTCTCTAAGTGGATTTTGAAGACTTAGTATGAAAAGAGAATGTGTAAAATATCTCAATGATACTTTATACTGATTATATGATAAAATAACAATGTTATATATATCCATATATATTAGGCTAAATAAAATATAGTATTAAATTAATTTTACCTTCTTTTTACTTTAAAAAATGTGGTTAATAGACATTTAAACATACATATGTGGCTCACATTATATTTCTATTATACACTGATGGTCTATAGTCCTCCTTATATTAAGATTTCAGTGTCTGGAGGATACTAGTGGAAGTGATAGAGTAAGGATCTCCACAAGTTCTCCTTCATGAAGGCAATATAAATTCTTTTCTAGTGCACATGGAACCTTCTCCAATACACAGCATATGTTAGGCCATAAGATAAGTAAAATATTTTTACTGGTAAAAAAGTATCAGTAAAGTTAACGGCATTGAAATAATACAAAGTATGTTCTCTCTTGTTTTAAAGATTTTATTTTTAAGTAATCTCTGTGCCCAATGTGAGGCTTGAACCCACAACCTCAAGATCAAGGGTTGTACACTCTACCAACTGAGCCAGCCAGGTGCCTCCAAAGTATGTTCTCTGACCATGATGGTGTGAATTTAGAAATCAAAAGCAAAAGGAAATTTGGGAAATAATGTGGCAATTAAACAACATGCTCCTAAATAATCAATGGATCACAGAGGCATACAGAAGAGAAATTAGAAAAATACTTTGAGATGAATGAAAAAAAAAACCCACAACATACTAAAACTTATGGGATACAGCTAAATCAGTGTTTGAAGGAAATTGTAGGTATGAAGACCTTTGTGAAAAAAAAGAAATATCCTGTGTCAACAAACTAACATTTCACATTAAGAAACTAGAAAAATAACAATGGACTAAACCCAAAGCAAGTAGAAGGAAGGAAATAATAAATATTATCATGAAAATAAATGAAATAGAGAAGAAAAAATATAGAAAATCCATGAAACTAAAAGACCGTTAATTGCAGTTATCAAAATTGACCAACCTTTTGCTAGACTGACCAAGGAAGAAAGAGAAGATGGAAATTACCAGAATCAGAAATGAAAGAGGAGACATTAATATCAACCTTCAAGAAATAAAAAGAGTTATAAGGAAATGGATTCTAAAGAAATGAATAATTGTATGTTAACAGATCAGTTAACCTAGATGAACTGGATACATTCTTAGATAGGCACCGACAATCAAGCCGACTCAAGAAGAAACAGAAAATCTGAACTGACTTATAATCAAGTAAATGACTGAATTAGTAGAACAAAAACAAAAACAACAAATAAAACATTTCCTACAAAGAAAATCCCAAGTTCAGTTGGCTTCACTTGCACATTCTGCCAAATCTTTAAAGAATTAATAGCATTTTTCAAAGCCTAGAAGAGAAGGCAACACTTCCTGACACATTCTATGAGACTAGTATTACCCTAACACCACAGCCAGACAAAGACATCACAAGAAAGAAAATCACAGATCAATCTGCTTTGTAAATATAGGTGCAAAATTTCTTGACAAAATACTACCAAGCCAGATTCAGTAACATATAAAAAGAATTATATGGCCAAGTGGGATTTATTCTCAGAATTCAAGACTGTTTCAACACACAAAAAAATCTATAATTATTAATATTAACCTAATGAAAGAAAAAACCCCACAAGATTATCTCAATAGACACAGAAAAAATCCCTTGAAAAATTCAACAATCTTTCCTGATAAAAACAAACTAGGGACAGACAGGAAATTCCTCAACTTAATAAAGGGTATCTACTAAAAACCCCAGCTACTATGATAGGTAATGGTGAAAGATGGGATGTTTTCCCTTTAAGATCAGGAACTAGACAAGGATGTTGGCTCTCTTGTCACTTCTATTCAACATTGTACTGCAAGTTCTAGCCTGAGCAACTAGGTAAGAAAAACAAACAAACAAAAGGAACCCAGATTGGAAAGAAAGAATTTAAACTATCTCCACTTGCAGATGACACATTCTGTTATATGGAAACTTCTTAAAAAATCTATTTAAAAATTCAAAAAAACCCATTAAAGTTAGTGAAGAAATTCAGCAAGTTTCCTGGGTAGAAGATCAATGTACAAAAATCAATTTTATTTTTATGCCTGGGCAATGAACAATCCAAAAATATAAAGAAGAAAACGATTCTATGACAGTATGAAAAATAATAAAATATTTTGGAATGAATTTAACATAAAAGGCTTTGCGTACTAAAGGTTTTGTACAAGTGTTTTTATACTAGCAACTACAAAACAGCAAAAGGAATTAAAGACCTAAATAAATGGAAATAGATCCTATGTCCATGGATTGGAAGACTTGTTAAAATGGCAATACTCAAGTTCATCTACAGATTTACTACAATCCTTATCAAGATCCCAATTACCTTTTTTTTTTCCTTGCAGAAATTGAAAGTTGGATCCTAAAATTAATATAGAAATTCAAGGGTCTCAGAATAGATAAAACGATCTTAAAAAGGAAGAACAAAGTTGGAAGACTCATACTCTTCATTTCAAAACTTACTACAAAGCTACAGTAATCAAGATGGCATGCTACTAGCATAAGGATAGACATATAAATCAGTTAAATAAATTTGAGAGTCCAGAAATAAACCCATGCACTGTGGTCAATTAATTTTTGATGGGAGTGTCAAAACAGTTCAGTGGAGAAAGAATAGCCTTTTCAATAATAGTGCTGGGACAACTGGATACCTACTTGTAAAAGGTTAAAGTTAGACCCCTACTTGACACCATATATAAAAATTAATTCGAAATGGATGAAAGACTTAAATGTAAGTACTAAAGTTATAAAACTGTTACATAAAAAACATAGAACTAAATCTCTATGACCTTGGATAAGAAAATGGTTTCTTATAGATATGACACTAAATGTGGAAGCAATCTGATAGATAAATCAGACTTAGAATCACAAATTTTTTTTACAAATTTTGTGCTTCTATCTTTGTGACACTTTCAAGACTGTGAAAAGATCTACAGAGTAGGAGACATTGTTTGTGAATCACATAATTGGCAAGGGTCTAATATCCAGAATATAGAAAGAACTGTTACAACCTCACAATAAAAAGGTAAATAATTCAGTTGAAAAATGGGCAAAGAACTTGAGAAGACATTTTTCCAAGGAAGATATACAACTGGCCAGTAGGCATATGAAAAGATGCTCAACATCAATCGGACATTAGGGAAATACTAATCAAAATCACAGTGAGATGTCAGTTCACCTTCACTTGGGCTATAATAAAAAAACAATGACAAGTTTTGACAAGGAGGTGGAGTGGCAGGACATGTACACTGCTGGTGAGAATGTTCACTGATGCAGCTACTTTGGCAGTGCCTGAAAATGTTAAACATTAGGTTTATCATATGGTCCAGGAATTCCACTGCTGGATATATACCCAAGAAAAATAAAAACACATGTCTGCACAACACCTTCTGCACAAATGCTCATAGTAGCATTTTTGTGACAGGCAAAAAGGGGAAACACCCAAGTGTCCATCAACTGATGAATGAGTAAATAAACTGTGGTATACTCATCCCATGAAATATTGTCTGGCCCTAAAAGGTAACAATGTCCCCGTTCATGCTACAATAAGGATGCCCCGAAAACATTATGGAAAATGACAGGAGCACTTCACAAAAGCCCATATATTATATGATTCCATTTCCATGAAACATACAGAACAGGTAAATCCAGAGGGATAATAAATAGATTGGCAGTGGCCAGGTGTGGGGGACGGGGGACCGCGGGGTGACTGCTAATGGGTATTCTGTGTTTCTTTTCGAGGTGATGAAAACATTCTGGAATTCACTGGCGGTGATTTTGGTGAACTCTGTAATTATGCTAAGAACCAGTGAAGTGTATACTTTAAAGGGGTGAATTTTATGATATCTAAGTTATATCTCATTAAAAAAAAAAAAAAACCTTTAGTGGTCCTGGGTTGCTCTCCATTGTATCAGTTCATGGAGTGTTAAAAGCTAGCATTTGAACACAGGTTTTACTTTAGGGAGACAATAAGGGAAGTCGAGGGGGCAGGTCTAAGGGGAAGGATTTGGGGGGACTGGTTGGAAGACTGGTGTGTGAGTGCGTGCGTTCTCTACCTGTCTTTAAAATCGTCTTGCACACAGAACCCCATTTTCCATCTTAAGGCTAAACAGGACCAACCAGGGGTGTGACCTTGTGTTGCCTGGGGGCAGAACCTCCTAGGGCAGTGGCCCTTCCAGGCCATCATGCAACGCATGCCCTGGGAAGCTGGGTCTCCAGTGTCTTTCATCACCCTTCCTCCCCTTCTCTGTACCTGGGAGACCTGCTGGGAGGGAGACTTCTCACCTTTTCTTCAGGCATCTCCAGGAGGGGCAGGGCCGGGTGTGTGTCCTGGGGGCTTGAGGGCCAGCTAGGGTTGGTAAACTCTGACTCATAGAGTTTGTATCTGCTGGAAAGAGGCTCCGGGAGGAGAGGGCTGCGGTGAGTGTGGGACATTTCCCTCAGGGCGTGGTCGCTCATAGGTCCTGCAACCAGAGAGACAAGGGGGACAGGAGTGAGTCAGGACGGGGCCCTGAGGGATGAGGCTGAGGCTGGATGGAGGCCACAGGAGGCACACGGGACCTCCTGTTGCAGTAGCCACACTGCCAGCGAGGCCTGGGGCCATTCCTTCACCCCTGTGGCCTTACCTTTCAAAATCCCCGCATTCTTTCCCCATCCATGGGACAGTCTGTTTTTGCTGTGAAGAGTTCCCTGACCCCTCAGTTACAACAGGTGCCTTTTTTTTTTTTTTCTGATCGTGGAAATATTTTTTCTCTACCTTTCATAATATCCGTTGTGCTGTCTTCCTGTAGTAGTTGTAAGTATGCTTTCTCTTTGGTATGCACGGGTGGATCTGGGTCTTCGAACCCAGTAGGGATCTAAGAGAAACTCATTTTCTTACTTGCTCTGGGGCTTATATTGGTTATGGGCCACCTCAGTGCCTCCCTCTCTTCCCTCTGCCCTCAGTGCCCTTTCCAGCACCTTCCTCTTTTTCCTTCCCCTTGGAGGAACAGCACTGAAACAGCAGCTCTCTATAATCTGCTAGAAGCTGTGTGCACCAGGCTGGCGGTCCCTCCATGCCGGGCTACCAGGACTAGCAGTTACACCATGACTAGCTTCTGGAGCATCCCCTGCCTGCAGGCCTCAGTGTCCTGCTCCACTATGGTGGCCACCCAGTAGTGCTCACTTCTTCCTCTCTGGCCACCTTAGCCCTTCTTCCCTTCTGTGGCCTCCTCGGGCTTAGTTAGATCTTCATTTACTTCACTGTTTCTTTGAAACAGCTCCTACCCAGCTGACCTGCACGGTCCCCTCTCAGTATGATCTAGAGTGTTCTCTATTGTTCCATGCTGCCTCCCTTGAATTGCAAGACAGCATATTTTAGGACGGTGCTTGCAGACCCCTGGCATGGGTGCTAGCCTTCCTCACACTCACCTCTGCAGACACTGCCCAGGGATTGCCGGGCTCTCTTCCAAAGCGGAGGAAGTCCATTAGTGACCTTTCCCTGGCCTATTTCCTACTCCCGATGAAAGGAGTTCTTGTTCTTGACTGTTGCTTTCAGACCCCTGCTCCCCTTGCTGGTGCAGAAAGCCCTCTTCTTTGAGGCTTACACTACTGTCTCACTGCTCACTGCCATGGTACTACTCTCTGGTCACCCACTCATTCAGTGAAGACTTCAGCAGCTCCTACTGGTCACCTTCATCTCCACTCCAATAATTTTCAGCAACTTCAATGCCTGGACATTGACAATGACCTCACTGACATTAACTCATCATTTCCTTCTCTTACCTCGTAGACCCTTGTCTTTCTCATCTCCAGGGACCCTCTCCACCTTTTCTTCTAAGCCACTGATTTCCATGGTCACCACATGGACTTGAGATTACACAAACTATGAAGTCTCAAAAGTCTGGCTTTCTTCTGGTCTTGCAGCTCACCTGCTCAAGTGCACCCACTGACCCAGCACTTTCACATGATGGAGACCTTCAGTCCCTTAGCTCCACTGACCCCGTGTTCTCTCCTGACCTCCTTAACCAACCTAGACTTCACAGACCACCATCTCACCTCTCTCAATGTGCTTGCTCTGCCCTACCCACTCCCTCTCTCATGCTTGTGTGGTGAAATCCTGGCCAGGCTAAACCCAACCATCCATCTCTTCCAGGTTTTCATCAAGCAGCTGAACATTGCCTGAGAAAAACTGCCTAACTGGGTAGGCTGCCATCATTCTAGGATTATGCTTGCCATCCTCTTGGGTGGACTCTTGGCATTGCATTTCTGCCTTTGGCCAGCCCAGGCTAGTTTCTGCTGCTGCTGGCCTTGCTATAAGACCTCCATGTTGGCAAATCCAAAACATGCTTTGGTTTTCATCTCATTAGACTGTTCAGAGCATCCACACAGTTGACCATCCCTCCTTTACATACTCTCCTCTTTTTGGCAATTTACATTGATCCTGTCTCTGGAAGCTCCTTCACACTGTCCTTGGCTGACTCCTCCTGGAAATACAAGCATTCTGCTGAGCTCTGTTCTGGACCATTTTCTCTTCATTGATGCTCTTACCCAGCTGACATCAGCTTTATCCATGGCTTTATCCCCCATCTGTATACCTATGACTCCCAAATCAGGTATTTTCAGCCTAGTTTTGAGCATTGGATTCACAGACTTAATTGTATACTTTACATTTGCACGTGGATGTTCCAGAAATAACATAAAGTTCATGCACTGAAATAGCTCATAATGTTCCCTTCTCAGATGCTGTCCTCCCTGAAAGGTGCCTGTCCCAGGAGGGCATTCCAAGCTACCCCTTAGAATACGCTGTTCTCTCTCTCCCCCAATCTAGTAATCTTACCTCTAAAATACACCTGAATGCCCACTGTCACCATTTGGCTGCCATCATCTCTTGCCTCTGCTCCAATAACTCCCAACTGGACACCCCACTTCTCAAATTTCTCTTCCATGCCATATTCCCTACGGCCATCAGTGCTGTCCTATCAGTACTCCACTCCACTCATGTCTATTCCCTGCTTCAATCCTGTCGCTACCAATGGAAAAATAGGCCTTAAACATGCACATGAGGCTCTGCACCACCATGGTCCTGTGATGCTTCAGGCCACCCTGGGTTTCTCCTGCCTCTCCTCTCTGAGCTCCACTCCCACCTCCTTTCAGTGCCTTGGTGTTGAGTATTTTCCACCTCAGGGCCTCTGCAAATGCTGGTCCATCTGCCCCAAGGACTCTTACTTGCTCTTCACCTGGGAACTCCTTCCCTCAGGCATTGTCTCCATTATCACTCATCAGAGAAGCCTGCTTGGACCACATTCTCTTGTCGCACACTCTTATGGCACCCAGTACCTTTCCTTAACAGCATGTCTTGTTTTTTCTTTTTTTTGTACCATGCAATGACTGATTTATTTGTATACTGTCTATCTTCCCATCAGAACTTAAGATGCATGAGGACAGTAATCTTCTCCTCTGTTCTGTTTATTGTTGTATCCCTAGTTCCTAGCACAGACCCTGGCACGTAACAGATGTTCAATAAATAAGTAGTGAAGCGAGGGAAGGAAGGGAGGAAGGAAGAATTGAGAAAGCTACAGGTAATTGCTAGAGTGGGAAAACTTCCTTGCAGAACTTTATGCATCACTATGGTCTCATAAGTCTTGTCCGGTTTCAGGAGGGCAGGGGGGGGGGCCACCCACCAGCCCTGCATTTTTCAGGCAGAACTCCACCATGTATAATAGTTGTCCTCATCCCCAGAAGCTGCTCATTTAAACCACAGCTGATTTTTAGTGTGGGTTTGCAGACATCATTCAGATCCAATGCCTCTTTCTCACCGCCACTGCACTGGGAGAGGGCCCTCTCCTGGACTTTGACTCTGCAGGTAGAGAGTCTGCAGTGACGTTCAGCCCACCCTGGAGGGCTTCTTGCTGGAAAGGCTGAGGAGAGGGAAAGGCAGCAAGCCTGAGAACCAGTGCACTCTCTCCCTCTGGTGGCCAAGGGTTGATGCAGCATCCTGGTCCCGTGCTTTTGAGATTGGGTCTAAGCCATCCTGCTGGAAAGTGAGGGGCAATCAGGTCTCTAGACACATGAGCTGTGTGACACCACACATCTGGATGAACTAGAAATGTTTTGGAAAGATTTTTGTGGTGACCTTGGTGGCTGTGAATTTCCTTTAAAAGTCCAGTTGAAAAGTAACTTTTTCCCCCGAGTGCATTTCCTTAAGTCTAAGATCTGTACGATGATCATTGTTTAGTGTATCACCAAGAAGAAAACGCTGCCAATCAAAATGGTAAGATGCAGACTGACTTGAAAGATGTTAAAATATGAGAACAATGTATATCACATAGTCAAGTGATGGGGCTCAAGTACACAGGATTTGAGAATGGGTATATTCAGGATTATTTTATAGACATAAGACTTCAAACACATACACATACACACATTTATTCTTTATGATGACAAAATTTATATATGATTCTTTTAAGAACAGGGGCTTGATCCTGTTGATTTCTGTATTTGCATTGCCCAGCAGAGAGCCTGGCACATAACAAGCCCCGAGTATGTGTTTAATGATTCCGGAAAGAATAAATGATTGTACAAGGGTAGTTACTCTCCAGAGACATCTCCTAAAAGGCACTTTCTTCTCTACCTCTGAGACTCTCCTGTATGCAGACAACATTTGCAATTATGGACAGAGAAAGAAATCAATGCCCAGGAAAGTAAAATGAGAGAGTTATTTCTCACATGGATTTAACGCTCTGTACTTTCCAAAGCAAGCTTGCTGCCTCATGATAGCAACAGGAAGCAGAGACCCAGGGAAACCAGCGACTTGCTGCAAAGTCAAGATTAGACCGGCTCTCTGGCCTGAGCTCCCCACCCTTCTGTTCTTCCAACTGCCTTGTAGGGCATGGCCGGGGGTGCCAGGGAGGGTGGCTGCCCCGGAGCCTGGGTCCAGGCCCTCAACCCAGTTCTATTTCATTAGCACACATAGCTTCAGCAGGAACAATGTGATTGCATCTCCTCTGGGGAACACAGTGTTTCTTTGCCATGGGAATGTTTACCCTGTTTAACTGGGGGAATTTTGGCTTTGGGGAAGGATTGAGACATGCGGCAAGAATGGCCTTGTAAAGAGAAGGTTGTTGTGTCTGGAAAGAGCTCAGGCTCAGGAGCTGAGATGCCAGCTCCACTCCTCTGCCGCCAGGGGCTCCATAACCTCTGTGTCTTCCTCTTCAAAGGGCAACATGGGACTCTTGAGGGCAGTGAGATTGCTGACTTGGTTCTTGGCACATAGTAGGCGCTCAGTGATTTCTAGTTTCCTTCCTTCTTATGCTCCCAAACTGAAGGAAAGATGGCCAGAGCGACCAGATGAAGCACAAGCTGGCTGTCCTGAAACAGAACGCCTTTCAAAAGTTTCCATAAGGCGTTGGCCACTTGTTAAAACTGGACGGTGAAATCCTTGCCTGAGCCACGTCCCGTCTGAAGGCGGCAGGCCTCAGAGCCC